ACAATTTAACACATCCTTGCTGAATAAAAGTTTTAATTTCTTTCAAAAAAAGAAATGTACTGTATATGTTTATAGCGTATATTAAAAATGTATAGTGCATATTGTTTTGCACTATATTACATTTTTTTCACATTCTTTGAAATAATTTTTTTTTACCAAAACATCTACTTGATCAAAAATACAATAATATATTTTATAGTGTTGTATAGGGTTTAAAATAAATGTTTTCTACTATATATACTTTTTTTATTTTATTGTGATAATCATTCTAACATGCTGATTTATTATTAGATTTATCAGTGCTGGAAACAGTCGTGCCAAATATTTTTTTGGAAACTGCGATACTTTTTTCAGGATTCTTTGATGAATAAAAAGTTAAAAAGAACAGCATTTATTCAAAATATAAATATTTTCTAACAATATAAATCTTTGCTATCATTTAAATGTAACAATTTAACACATCCTTGCTGAATAAAAGTTTTAATTTCTTTCAAAAAAAGAAAGAATAAAAATGTACGTACTGTATATGTTTATAGCGTATATTAAAAATGTATAGTGCATATTGTTTTGCACTATATTACATTTTTTTCACATTCTTTGAAATAATTTTTTTTTTACCAAAACATCTACTTGATCAAAAATACAATAATATATTTTATAGTGTTGTATAGTGTTTAAAATAAATGTTTTCTACTATATATACTTTTTTTATTTTATTGTGATGACAAAACTTAATTTTTTGAAGCCATTACTCTAAATCCTTGCCCTATATTAAGAAATCCTTCTAATGGACCGATTTGACATTTTTATTATTATTTGCACAGTTGAAAAAAGGCTGCGCTGCTTAATGACGTGAGGCAAATAAAAACACAATGTCTTACGGAGTACAGGACAGGTGTATTTCTTGCAAGTCAAAATATACAGAAAATCTTGCATATGTTTTGTATCATTTTTTAATACATCAGGCTTTTATGGCCTCAGAGAATAAGGAGCTCGAACAAAAAACAGTGTTTTTATTCAGAAGCCCAATGTGACCAAAAATATGTAACTTCTAAAACATTCTAAAAGCTGAATGAGATTTTTATAACAGTTTGATACACTAATTCAGCATATTAGAATTATCTCTGAAGGATCATGTGACACTGAAACTGGAGCAATGGCTGCTTAAACTGTAATAATATTTCACAATATTGCTGCTTTTACTGTTTTTCTTATCAAGCAGATGCAGCTTTGGAGAGCACAAGAGACGACTTCTTAATTACAAAAATTATACACACCTAAACTTTTGTGTGTGTATATTTCAGAGCTTATCTGAAAGAATAACATCTGTGAAGATGTTCAAAAGCTCAGTGCCATTGACCATCACATTCTGGCCTTTGTCAAATCAGGGCTTTTTACACTGCTTTAACCCCGGGTCAAAGTACGTTTCACATCTGTAATTTATATTTCATGTCTCACATGATTTGGTCATTCACAGAAACACTGCGTACTGTATACGCAGTCGTTTCAGCGTTTAAATGGTCACAGCTTCATAGTCAAATGAAAAGTCCATTCAGAAAAAAAGTGATATTACAGTCGGCAATCTATAATATGAAGGATCGCAGTGCTAGAGCCGTTATGTAAACAGGCTGCAAGCTGCATTTGTCCAATCAATGACACTGACAAATATGCACGATCATGAACCCAGGGGTTAGGAATGTACAGTGTGAAACTCCAGCTTATGAATACCAGGATTAATTGACTGCACACGTGTATCCTGTAAAGCACTTTGTGAACAGTTTTTAAAAAGGTGCTATATCAATAAAGCTTCACTTACTATTGGTCACTGACAGTGACTGTTTTGGACTTGCAGCTGGGCTGCAATATGCTTTTACTGCCCCCTAGAGGAAGACTGAAAAGTGCAGTATATTGGATAAATAAGAATGAAACAATGGTTTCCAGACTAATGTCTTCATTCTGGATCATGAATGAAGTGTTGCTCAATGATTTAACACTGTCAGCAGTGTTAGAAAGTAAGTTACTAGTCACTGCACAAGGGGCTCAGGAAAGAAGCTAGTTCTCAGAAAAGCCTATAAGTAGTATTTGTTTGGAGATGCAACTTGTTTTCATATTTTTTTTTATTGATGCAATAAAATACAGACTTTTTTTGTGACTTAAGTGTCCAGATACTGTAGTTTTTTAAAAAATCTTGTTTGAAAATTTGCTTGTGCTGTCCTTAAAAATAAATGAGACTTGCTTTGTTGATACTGTAGATAAGTATCTAAATGCTTTTAGCGGCCACTATAGAGCAGCATGGTGAACATTAGTATTTTAGAAAGCACAAAACACAGGCTATTGTGTTGCACTAATACAGGCCACTAGGAAAACTGCTCCAGTATCAGCTTCTATTATACTTTGGGAAAGAGCAAACAGTTATGATGAACACCCACCTTAATATATATATATATATATATATATATGGTCAGTTTTTAAAATTAAACTTAAAGGGTTAGTTCACCCAAAAATGAAAATTCTGTCATTAATTACTCTCCCTCATGTCGTTTCAAACACGTAAGACCTTCGTTCATCTTCAGAACACAAATTAAGATATTTTTGATAGAATCTGAGAGCTCTCTGACCCTCCCATAGACAGCAACGCAATGCAACTGAAATGTTCCCAGGCCCAGAAACGTAGCAAGGAGATCGGTAAAAGAATCAATGACATCAGGGGTTCAACTGTAATTATACGAAGCTACAAGAATACGTCTTGTGCGCAAAAGAAAAGAAAAAATGACTTTATTCAACAATTCGTCTCCTATTCTCCAACATGGCACCAGGGTGACGTGGAGGAGACGAATTGTTGAATAAAGTCTTTTTTTTTTCTTTTTGTGCACAAAAAGTATTCTTGTAGCTTCGTAAAATTACGGTTGAACCCCTGATGTCACATGGACTATTTTACAGATCTCCTTGCTACGTTTCTGGGCCTGGGAACATTTCAGTTGCATTGCTGTCTATGGGAGGGTCAGAGAGCTCTCAGATTCCATCAAAAATATCTTAATTTGTGTTCCGAAGATGAACGAAGGTCTTACGGGTTTGGAACAACACGAGGGTGAGT